AGTTTGAAGTAATAAGTGGTATTTTTCAATTGATGGTATTAGTATAAGAGTGCAATATTACTATGAATGTGTGCAATATGAAGATGTAAAAACAGAATGAGTGTACAGTGTGTAGTATCACGATGTGAGTATAGCATTAAGTGTATATATATATAGGTATATGTAGTATTACAATATGAGGATATAAGAATAGTGTAGAGTATGATACTATAGTACCAGTACTAAAGATTATGTGATGTTACAGTATTAATAGTAAAGATATTATTGCATCAAACTATAGCTGCACAATGTTACAGTACCGGGGTAGCATAGCTGCATAGTGTTACAGTATCGGGATGGTCCAAGTTTATGCGTAATATTGCAGCATCAAGATGTAGAGAAAGTTTAAGATGTGTATAGGGTTAGAATGACAATGTAATGCTACAGTATGAAATGTGAAGGTGGCATGAATGTATGTATGATATTACAGTATCAAAGGTGAATCAAACAATAGCAGAGGATTTTCAATCAAAAAGCCGCTTTCGTTCATTTCAAATTTGAGAAATGCTCAAGTAGATTGCATTAATGATGAGAACATACCTAATGAAGAAAGAATTGTGTGCCATTTGTAAGTTTTATCATATATTGTATTAGTTCCTATTGGAATTTTTTTACAATTGTGACGAATTTTACAAATATCAAAATCTCATTTTTATCAAATAACTATTCAGCATTATCTACAACAAATTAATATTATTTATTAGTGAACTAAGCTCAAAAGTAAGCAGTGCTATGGAACGTGAAAGTACAGCACCATGTGTATCACCGGAAATTTCGGATCCGGATGCAGAACAGCAAACACCATTCAGTGCCGCTCATCGTATTCCATTTATTGATATTGATAGTTTAACATCATTAGTTGGGCATGATGATGTTTATGAGATACCGCCTCGGATTGAGGTTTATTTATATTTGAAATAATCTGTTGAAAAAAAATGATGTAGAATTTAATTCTTATCATAAATATTTAGCAATAATTGCATCATTTGTAATTTTATATTTATTTCATTATATCTAAAAATAATTTGTTAAAAATATTCCTTCAATTTGAGGTTATCGAGGAACCAAAGCATATTTTGGTAACATCGGAGGAAGTACGTCGACCGCTGCTAACAGCCGCTCAAGTGACACCACGAAAGCATTCTTTACAAGGCATTTATAATATCATTAATGTTGTTCGTAAAAGAAGTTTAGGACGACTTAAAAAGCAACAATGCAAGAATGAATATAAATCAAAATCTGAAAATCGAGCACGAAAGGTTATTTTTTGAATTATTTAAAAATTTTCGAGAAAAAAAATTAAGTTTAAAATTTTATGACTAATATTAAATATTTTAAGCATGAACATTAAAAATGAATAGATAAGCTAATAATTATGTAATAGCTATATAATTTTAACGAAGAGTTTCTTTTTTTTTTTTTTATTTTCTTTTGTTTTAGGCATTACGTACAATAACATTTATCCTTGGAACATTTACAATTCTTTGGACACCGTTTTATGTATTAGCAACGGTGATGGGATTTTGTGATTCGTGTAAGAATTCGAAAATATTCAATTTCTTCTATTCCATTAGTTATTTTCTATGTTATATGAATAGTCCAATTAATCCATTTTGCTATGCCATGGCTAATCAGCAATTTAAGAAAACACTTATACGTATTTTAAGTTGTGATTTTAAACGTTCATAGCAATAAATGTTTATTTCAATTCATTTCTAATTGTGTTTTTTCTTCTCTTTTTTCGATTTTTTTAATTTCTAAAATTCGTAATAAACAAACAGGTAATTTTTGAAAATCCTTTTGCTGATCAAATCGTTGATAAATTTCGTTTTTAAGAAATCAAGAAGGAGTTTATGTTTTGTTTTTGTTTTTTTTTTTTGAAGAATTATGCTTGAATTCAACCATTTGGTTCCTTTGCCATCAATGTAATATGCTAAATAATTGAAATTATCGACAAAAATTATTTCGTCAGGAGAAAAATATGTCTCTTTTTTTGTGTATAAAATTTACAAAAGCCAGTATAGTAGAGGTGCTGCGCTCTTTTTTTTCTTTCGTTTTTTTTTTTTTTTGTGATTTGTTTTCCGCCTCTTTTGATTTGACTGAATAACTAACATATATTATAGCGCTTATTGTTCTTATCAATGTTTTGTTATCTCCATTCAATAGTGATATTATTTCAGAATGACTCTGAAAGGTTACTGGATGGAAATTAAAAAGAAAAAAGTAATGTCGTAATAAAAAAATAGGTAATGCTAACGGTATGCATGCAAAAACAAGCAAATTATAATTATCTAATTATATGAAAATTTTTAGCGTAATTAAATATGTTCAATTCTTTTGAGGGAAGAATTAAAAAAGAAGGTATGGATGAGTTGAAAATATTCGAAGTTATAAGTAAATATATATTTAATTCCATTTCCATTCTTCAATTTACATCTTTCTTTTTTCTCATAAAGAAAATAAAATATTTGATTAAGTTATGATTAAGTTATGAATGAATCTTAATTGTCAATAATAATTTCATCATTTTATTAAACTATTCTTTTTAACTCTAAATAATTACTGCTAAAAGGGATAAAAAAGAAATGATTAACTGAAACATTAAAATAATTTATCAAAAATATTCCAGCTTTCAATATTAATGTGCTTATTTGTCAACTTCAAGCACTTATTTCATTATCTGTTATAAAGTTTACCACGCTAATAAGATATCGAAAATGAATCGAATGCAATAACAATAAGCTAGGCGGTAAGAATGAATATTTCGAAATTTGGAAAAAAGGAAAATGGAAAGTAACTAAGAAATAAGCAAAATGCCTTCTGGGAAATAAGTGAGAAGAAATATTGAGTTAGCTAAAGTATCAAAAAGTGAAACCACAAGGGAAATGAGTCGGAAAATGAATTAAGCATTACCCAAGTCTATAGTATAGAAGAAATATTTTGAGTGAAAAAAAATCGTTAAATATAGATTGAAATGACATCATTATTTCAAATTATTTCAATATCACCTGCTTCATATTAACTAGGAGCAATTATTACACTATCGTCATCATCATCACATCATTATATATTTCATCATTTATTCTTTTTGAACATTATTGCCTGAAAAAAATGAATTACAGGTAACATTTGTTATTATGTAGTTCTCATAGAAAATATTATTTCACGCATTAAAAAAGTGGAAAGAAACTCGAAAAGATTCATCTATTTGAATGAATTGAATTTACCTTTTCTTTCTTCTTCCTCCCCCATTGTATACTTTCTCTCTTTCCTATTTTAAGTGAAAAGAAAGCAAAAAAAATTTTGCAACATCTTTAATTTGCAGTCAAATGAACTAAAATTGTCACATTGGGCTGACCCTCGCAAAAAAAGAATTTATTTATGCTTAATCATGAAAAATTTGTTACGCCTTGACACACTGATTTTGCAATTCAAATTCTAATTACTAAATAATAAAATAACAGAATGATTAAATAGAATTTGCAGAATCTAACTTTAATTTCAAATGCTAAAATGAGAGAATCAAAATGATTTCTCAAATTCTGAATATTAAATGAAGCGATTTTAACATTTCACTTTATAATAATTGGAAAGTCTGGGAAATATTAATCGATTATTTCTTTCTCACCGACTGCAAAATAATTACCTGCATGATCGCCATGTATATCGAGATATCTTACGATAAATAATTCCAATCTTACCAACAACAAGGAATTATCTAATACTAATATTAATTTAAATTTTAATTCGATTCGCCTCAATTCAGTGTTAAACACAAGCAATAGACTGTAATAAAATAAACTTGGGCAATTAGGCTATCTGATAGCCAACATGATTAGCTAACAAGAATTTTTGTTATCGACATAACTTTTATTAATATCCTCTTTCCGATGTATTCTCTAAAAAATGCTTAAACATCTAACTAAAAATAATTGAACAGACATTGACTTATTTTCAAATTTCTAATCAGTTTACCTTCTAATAAGCCTATCCAATAATGATAAAACGAGCGAAAATATTTTGATTAGTTAATTAAGACAACGTTTTTTTTTTTTTTTTTTTTTTGAAAAAAAAAACTTTATTAATAAATAATACACCGGAGAAATAAGGCATGTGATAGAATAATACCTTAAAATACAAATATATGTGAACATAATATAATTAAAAAGAAAGTAACATGACAAACATACGACTATTGTTAATGGAGAAATTACATAAAAGTACGGAAGTAGATTGGAAATTCATGAATTACTCCAATTTAACCAGTTGATCATTTCGGAGTTACCGAATAAATTAAACTTTTCAGGGATAAGATTTAATAAAGAAGTATCATTGTAATTATAAAAGAATATCTTTAACAAATGGCACGACAGGAAGAATGAACGTGAGATCATTTCATTTACAAAAATAATAAGAAGAAAACACTCAAATAAGAAGTCAACAAAATTTTGGTAATTATTGATACATATATAAATTTGCTACTTAACAATTGATATATATATAAATTTATATATTTATATATATATATATATAAATTTACTGTATAATTTGCTACTTAACAATGGAATTTGTATTATATCCATAGGAATTTTTTCTTCAATTCATAACAATAGTAACTTGGTACAATTATAATTTGCATGAATTTATAATGTTATCAATGTGCTATCAATTCGTATCATTTATTCGATAATGTAAACTAGTCCTAAGTTCATAATAACAGAAACGTTGTCACAGTTATAGTTTGCATAAATTCGTAAATGATTAATATCATATCAATGTACAGCATTATCAAGTATAGCTACATCATTCAGGAATAAAAATTTGATAATTCAAAAAGCAAGTTAAACCTTAAAAAGATTAAATCATACATGTGAAAATTATATATGGAAAATAATGAAATATATTTATGTATATTCATGTACATATCATCACAGGTAAATTTAAACAAAATTTCATTTTTTTTAATGACTAATTTTTAAAGTATTGCATTTTGTTGTAATACCATGCGAATTATTGCTCGATTTCAACGATCCAATATTTCGTTGTTGTAAAAAAAATTTAGAATTTGATTGTTGTATTGGACTGCTTGGCAATGAACCAAATCCTGAACTATCCGCTGAACCATTGGCACTTTTTAGAATTTGCCTGTAGTGGATGTTCACAAATGCTGCATACATATATGCGTATATATATATATCGATCAGATCATGGTAATGGTTTAAAATTTGATTGCCGATAAATCAATAAATGATCAATTTGTTGATCAATAGAAGTGAAAGAAGAGTACGAATCACGACAATTATCCAATGTTTTCCTAAAGATGGAGTGGATAAGAGAAGAAATGATAGAAAGAGAAAGACGAAGAGAAAAAGCAGAAAGGACGAAGAGAGAGAGAGAAATAGAAAAGACAAAATTACTCAGGAATTTTTTTATTCAAAAAAAAAATGTAACAATTTAATATTTTTAAATTAGTATTATTAATATTATTTCAAATTTTTAAAACAGATATAACTGATAAATATTAAATTATGTGTTTTATAAGTAAGAAAAAACTTTTTTATTTATTTTATTTATTTATATTTCTTTTTGTTTTTTGTTTTTTTTTTTAAACTTTCTATCAATAGTAAAAATAATGAAACTCTAAGAAACCTGATATGATCATGTCCTGCAAGTTGTGCTACATCAGATGCACAACGACCTAAATTATCACAAATTGATGGTTCAGCACCAAATCTTAGCAATAGCATAACTATATCACGTTGTCCGTTATTAGCTGCTATGTTTAATGCTGTTGCACCCTGAAAAGACATAATTTCATGAAATGAAATTAGAATTATTATATTTTAAAAAGAACCTATCAAAATGTATCTAAAAAACAACGAAAAACGATTGTAATTAATTACCTGATTAACAAATTTTAAAAAGTATTAAAGTTTAAACATATTTCAATTTTTAGCATATTTTCAATCGTATTATAATAGGTGGTGATAAATTTAATATTTAACCTGATAATCAGCAGCATTTGGTGCTACTCCAATAGTTTCTAACATGTAATGACAAATTTTATAATTAGATGACCAAACAGCGAACATTAATGGTGTACGACCATCTTCATCACGTGCTTCAAATTCTGCTCCATATTTTCGAACAATAGCAGCTAATTTAAGATCATTTAACTGTAAGATAAACAATGCTCACTTCAAAATTTGAATAAATATGCTTAAAGAAGTAATATCGGGATGTTAAATTTTTTTTAATGGTTGAGAACAAATTTTTCTAGTATCTGAGAGAAGATCTTTTCAAAAAAAAAAAAAAATGAAAAATGTAATCATTTTTTTTTTATATAAATTTCGAAAATAAATATTACTTGATATTGTTTATATGAAAAAGTTAAGAATTCATTTTTTGAAATTTTACCATATTAAAAGAAAAAAAAGTAGGAGAGATATTATACCTGTGCAACGATATGCGCACAACTTCGTCCATGTGAATCACGTACCGTAGCTGAAGCACCATATTCAAGTAACATTGTAACCATAGATCTATCACGTAAAACAAGTAATGTATGAATTAATGGTACGCCATCGAGATCAAGCTCATCTAGCTCCAATTTTTCACCATTTTTTCGGAGATATTCTAAAAGATATTTCAAAACTTTTTCATTACGACTAATTGCTGCAGCACGAAGTGGTGATAAACCATCATGTGATTGCAAATGTATAGGTGCGCCAACTTTTAACAGTTCTTCCACTATCTGAAATCAAACTCAGGAAGAGTAAATAACAGTATAAACAGTGAAAACAATTAAAAGTATTAATTTAATGCATCCTTATAATTATTAACGGTAATAGTTTTTTTGATTTCTGATATATGTTATGCTATAAAAATATAAATACTAACAATAGTATTGTACTAAAATGCATTGAAAATATGTATAAATGTGTTTTTCAATTATTTATATCATTTTATTTATTTAATTTTAGTAATAATTAATTTACCGGAACTGAGGAACGTTGTCCAGCAATAAGTAATGGATGTACACCACGCGTGTCAGTAGCTTGAACAGTAGTTGAAGTAATTAATGATTTGCATAATTGCAAGTCTGAATGTGCAACTGCATAATGCAATGCCACCGCACCATCATTATCCTGAATATTTAATATTTTTAAGAGTAAACAAAAAAAAAAGTAAAACAATATTTGTAACATATTTTCAACTGCTCATTCGAAAATGACATGTAAAAAATCGAAAAATCAAACTGTTGACAAAATATTTTCCAAATTACTACAAGTTATTTAATTAACATATGCATCATTTAAGTTATACCTTATGACCTTCATCAGCTCCAAAACTGACCAGCATCTCGCAAACATCCAAGAAACCACTGATTGCAGCTATAATTAAGGCTGTACGACCAAATTCATCAATAGCATCGGTATCAGCACCATGTTCAATTAGCTGTTGACAAGCAATCAGATGACCTTGACTTGATGCAAGCATCAATGAAGTACGACCATTGTGATCCTAAGCAAAAATTAGCACATTTATGGTTTCAATTTCTTTCTTAAAAATTATAAACATCATTGAAAAGCATATAAGAATAAAGATATATACGAAGAAGAAAAAACTACCTGAGCATCAATATTTTGAATGAAATCGATAATTGTTGGAAGATTCTGATCACCATGATAAGCAGCAATATGTAAACAATTTCGGCCATTCATATCTTCCAAATTCAAATTTGCTCCACCTGTAATACTTTTTTCCTTTTCTTTTTTTTTAAATAAACTATGAATGATGTATGGAATTGATAAAAAATGAAGAAAATGTGTGCACAAAAGCATTCAGAAAACGAAAGTTAAAGTATTTTGTGTTATTCAAAAAATATTTTGTGTGAAATAAATTTTAGATGAAAAAGTAAAAAATATTGCTAAATTGTATTTTTCTTAAGTTAAAAAAAATATGCTATTTTCTGTTTAACAAAATTATTTTCTGATGCAATGAAGAACAAACACCTTTGATAAGCATCGCAACAGTTTCATTATGATCAGAAGTTTGTGCACCTGACGAAAGTGCTAAATGAAGTGCTGTTGATCCATAATTGTCCATAATCTGTGAAAAAAAACTTCATTTCATAATTTGAAAACTATTAAGTATTAGTTCTGAAAACTGTTAATTAACATGACTTTTTTTTCTTTTTTAATTCCCTTTTTTTGATTAGATATTACTGTATATATATATATATATATATATACATAGTTATTCATTTAGTAGTTTGATATTAAAAATTTTTCACAATTCGTTTCTTATCACTTATCATATACATTGTATATAATAGAAATGCACGCATTACATGTATGCTAATAAAATGATTAAAATGTACGAAATTGAAATAGCAAAATGATTTGTTATTACTTTTGATTAGAATTTTTTTTTTTGATGGATAATAATAAAATTTTACATTTGGTGATGCTCCATCAGCCAGAAGTATGCTAACAATGTTTGCATGATCCATGAATGCAGCAGCCATAAGTGCTGTACGACCTTCTGCATCCTGTTTATCAACATTTGCATTACATTTTAGTAAACGTTGTACAACACATTCATGTCCACTCCTACAATTTCGTTTTTTTTTTTTTTTTTTGAATAAATCAAAAAATTAAATAATAATTTAAACAAAAATCAAATGAAATATTTGTAAATAATATAAATGTTAGAAGTTATATTATCATTTATTTTTCGACAAAAATCAAAATGAAACATTGTAAATAATATAAACATTACAGTATTATCATCATTTTTCTCACCTTATGCCAACATATCTCTTTATCTTCTTTTTTTTCCAAAATTATAACTTAATCATACATAATCTCTTTTTTAAATCTATCTTTTCCCCTCTCTCTCCCTCTCTGCCTCCTTCTCTCTATATATATTTCTAAAAGTAAATATCTATGAATAATTCAAAAGCTATCATTAATTGATGAAAAGGATGTGTTAACCAAATTTTATTTCACGTTATTTAGTTATGCATTCATTGTCATTAATTCAATGTCGCAAATCTTAATTATTTACTTTGCATCCTTCACCGACCAATCAATCTATATTAAATATCCTTCAAACAAATTCAGATAAATTATTGTCACCAAGTAATTCTTATCCCTAGCTTTAATTATTTATAAGGTGAAATGCTATAAATGCTAATGTTAATGCTAAGCGTAGTGATCACTATTAATTCATAGCGCAATTACAGAATTATCATCAATTTGATAATTATCATTTAACTAAACAAATAGTTATGCAAGTAAGTTCAAATTAAATCGAACATAAGTTTTACGCTAATTAATTTCGGTTTGAAAAGCTATGATAATTTATGAATTGGGAACATTTTTAAAGATATAATCAAATTTTCAAAATTTTATTCAATTAGATTGACAATTGCTTCTGAGTGGTGATTGTTCAAAAGATTTAAAATTTTGGACAGCCATAATTTTTCATAAGCTATTAGAAAGAATATTTTTAAATCGTCAATATTTTAGTTTAATTTTAATAAAAGAAAAAAGAGAACAATGAGTGAACTGATTATCTAACTTTCGTTGTTATTTTTGTAATAGTCTAAATCTAAAAAAGAATCTTAGAAATTTTTCTTTGTGAATAAAAAATTATTAAAAGAAAAAGAAATTCGTCTATAAAAAAAAAAAAAAAAAAAAACTTTCTTTTGATATCAAAATTTTGAATATTTGTGATTAGTTTATAAACAAAAAAAGTCACTGCGGAAAATGTGATAGATGATAAGCATTATTGGAAAATCAAATACTGGAAAAGTTTTTCTTCATATCTTTTACTCATACTTTATATATATATTATGTATATGGGAAAAATTTTTTTTAATTAGATTATTTTTATTTCAAATAAATTACACCTACCATGCTGCAGCACGAAGCGCTGTTCGTCCACCTTCACCACATTCATCCACTTCCACACCTTTAAAATGAATTAATAAAAAAAATTTTTTTTCTTCCTCTCTTTCCTCTTTATTTCTAATAAACAAACTGATAATCCCTTTGATATGGTCAACAAGATTGATCATCTCTAGTCAATAATAAAATAAGTCGCATATGATGAATGATGAAGTACTTCAGTGGTAAACGAAAAGCATTTCCTTTTAATTAATGACCATATGCTATGAAAGGTTTTTAATTATATCATATTATTTGGCATGATATATAATAGCATAACTATTAATGGTGAGAATTGCGCCTTAATATGCCTTCCGGTCACTAAACATCTATCGAATATTTGTCAACAATGAATGATTTGATATATTTCAAATTTTACGCTTATTTACATCCTTATTAATTATTGTAATTTTATAAAAATATTGCTTAAAAAGAAAAAAAATGCAAAAATATATTAATAAAATTATTATAATATTGATAGATTAATTGTCTAATGCTGCATAGAATCCACTAAACTTACCATAAATGACTATTTCTTAATTAATTAATTGATCAGATCAATATATCTACCATCTATATTAATTTTTGTTCATCGCTTTTTGTTTTCATTTTTGCAGGCGCAATTAACCAAATGCTCGCTGCAAAATATAAAGTTAATGCGCAAAAATTTGACCATTTTGAATAAGCAGATCGACAACATTATCATGATTGTTGCATGCAGCAGATCGTAATGCATTCCATTGTTGTGAGTCAACATAATTCGCTGCATGTGGATCAGCTTGCAGTATCAATTTGCAAATATCTGCATGTCCACGACTAGATGCTGCAATAAGTCCTGAGCGTAGTTCATCAATGCTTACTGCATCCAATAAATTCATAACACTTGTCCAATCGCCAGATGTGCAAGCGAACACAAAATCATGCTAAAATAAACTAGGATGTTTTAAAAAATTTTTCTCAACAGGCAAAAATCACCAAAATTTTAAAACTTCGAAAGTTTTCAAAAAAAAGAAAAAACAATTCTATTTTTTTATGCATAAAACTTTTTCTTTATCTTAGATGATTCAAAAAATTTAATTTGAAATTTAGCGTCGGAAATGAAAAATAACAAATGGGTACAGGAAAGTTGATTTATGTGAAAAGAACATCCAAAAATAAATAAATAAATGGTTGAATTGATGAAATACTTTTGATTTATTAACTTATTAAACTTTTTTGATTTATTAAAATTTGCGTGTATTATCGATGTAAAATTTCGTTTCTGTGATACCTCTGAACCTTTGAATCTTTGCATGCTTGTTTCCGAGATATCATGGAATATTACTACTATACTATACTACTTCTAATACTTCTAATACGACATTATGAGATTATCCCAAATTAAGTGTGTTTCTTCTGGTGTAATCAATTCTATTGTTATATCGCCATGTAAGGAACGAAAATTAAACAAATTGAAGAATTTGTTTGTAATAAATTTTCAGTCCTGAAATGACCCATCCCAAATAATAAATTCTATTATGGATTGCTGCTTGTATAGTAATACAATTAGATCCCCTGAGAAATATCGGCTAACAAACACAATGATGATCTTTGTTCAGATATTCAGTATGGATTATCATATTTTCAGCCAAATATTTCATGCAAACTACATTACTTTTTTTTTTTTTTTAAAAAAAAATTGAATCGAGTTTAATAAAAAATATTTTTCAAAAAAAGTTTTGAATTAATTAATTGTCCATTAATTGCAAAATAATACCGTTTAATAAAAATTAGATCATTTTTATTTTTTTTAACAAGTTATAAATTAATAATTAATGTAAATAAGCATAAAAAAGAACTAATCTTATTTCTAAGATATGTTGATGTTATAGCATATTTCAAACAGATGCCCAATCTTTTCTCAAATATAAACTATCACATACCCATTGTTTACAATTTGAAGTTAATTGATAATATAAATGATAATTTCCCCATTGTTTATAATATAAACTTATAAATAGTAATGCATCAGTTTTATCTTGAAATGTGTTTTATTAATTTTATTTGTAATAATATTGAAGAATAAAATGAAAAAAAAAAAAAACAAATCGCATTAGTAATTTTATTTATTTATTTTTTCACTTGTACAAACTTTTTAGTTAATCAATTCAGTATATATAATTAGCAAAATATTAAACGGAAAAAAACACAAAGATAAATATGATGGACAAAGTTATAAAATTCAACTAGCTGGCTATTACTGGAATATCTGATTTAGACTAATTATTAAACAACTTAAATGAATATATCATAATTTGAAATTTTAAAGAGCAAATCACTTCTAGTAATTGCTATTTATCTGAAAATACATAATTCAATGGAATTTAATTGAAATTATTAGAGATCTGGTGGCAGCATTTGAACAATTTAAAATATAAATTATTGTACGCTAATTATATGATAAATTTTTGCTATTTTTTTTTAAAAAAAAGCAAAAACTAAAAAAAAAAAAGTATGCAAAAAAATTTGACAGTTAATGAATTTGAATTATTTTCATTACAAATGTTTGTTACATTTTTGTGATTTTCTTCCTGCAAAACTTGTTATTTTAAATTTATGATAAATCAGATATAATTTTCTGCTTTTTTCCCGATCAAATTGCTAATCAATAGCAATCATCAAATTTTATATGTTATAAGAAAGAATTCAAATGAACAACAAAAACAGATGAATCATACTAAAAAAATTCTTTTTTAAAATTTATTTTACTTTGTTTCAATTTAGAAGGACTTCACAGTTAAGTAGTTCATCAGTTCGAAAATAAAAAATTTGAGATGATTTGCACAAAAGATCAACTTACAACTGCCATATTAAAAAAAAAGAATATTATTTTATTGGAAAACTCTGGAATTTATCTTTACACAAGTTTTACTATATATTTCTATGATATCTTATTTTTTTCTCATTCCTTTTTAAATTAGCATTACATCTGGAAAAAATGGAAAAAATGCATCGCAATTATTAATTAATTTTTTTCATCTATATTTCATTCTACAGCGCAAATAGTTTTTCTCAGCTTATATAGATCAATTTAATTTTGAAAATTGTAAAATTGTTAAGTGTTAAATTTAACCACTTGAAAATAAACTTAAGTTTTATCTAAATTAGATAAAATTACTTAAAAATTATAAAAGGGTTCAAGTAGAAGTGAAATAGAGCTTTATATTCCCTTTTTCCCAAGCCAATAGTTTGTTACAGTAATAAGTACAAGCTTAAATAATCATTTAGAAAAGAGCGCAAAGCCTCTTAAAATGATTGCAGGTCCAATTTCAAGTCTATATCTTATAGGCTAAGCCTATTAATCCTCTTTTCCTTTACACAATAACAAATTCAGCAAATGGGAAGGAATGTCCACTTTACCAATCGTTCAATTTGCAACCCAAACCAAAAATTAATTCCATTTTTTTCAAAAAATTAGGCAATTTAAAAGATTCGAATAGCGTGAAGTATATTTTATTTTTTAAAACTGGAGTTTTGAAAATATAATAATAATAAATGATTAGTAATTTAGTAATAATAGCACCAGTAATGATAGTAAATAATAATTAATAACAACAATTAATAATATTAGTAACAAAAAATCTTTTATCCATTTTCTGAAGCAATAAAAATTAGGATGGATGTACCTTTTGTTGACGTTGGTTCAAAATGACTGCACCAGCCTTAACTAACAAATCAGTTGTCATATAATCAAATACAGGACACTTAAGCTCGATCATATCTGCACCAAATTCACGTAATATCCTAATTCGATCCAAATAATGCAATTCTAAACACTTTCATTCTTTTCTTTGAACGAAATAATTGTTAAAATTTTATGAAATTTTCTCTGCAAATAATACCTTGAAAAAATTCTTTAGCGTTTGAAGCGTAAAAACTTCTTGAAAGGTTTAAAAAATTTGTTGACAATGTAAAAAAAAAAAAAAAAAAAAAAAAACTCCTGTTCTATGAGAAATATTAATCTAATAAAAATTTTTTTTTTGTTCAAATTCAATTTACTCCTATTCTATCAGATGAATATTATTTGGATTAAGAAGGAAGAAGTAAGAGAATAAGGGAATGATAATTATAGACATAGAGAGATGATATTTTTAATCTGCTGATAATTTAATCGTTGAAATCATTAAAACATTTACCACCAGAATGAGCTAAATGATATGCGAATTCGATAAGTGTTTGTAATGTATCACAACCCGTTCGTTGAATAAATTGCGCCCATAATGTATGACCTTCTTCACATTCATTATCACTGATAAAACGTTCACGCCAAGCACCATTTAAAATTAATGGATCAGTACATTCTAAAATTGGTTCACATTCATGTAAATCAGATTCTATCAAATTTGTTGGACGATTAGCTGTAAGGACGATAGCAGCAATAAGACGTTGTCGTGTTGGTGGACGACGACTTGCAGTTATTAATTGCAAATACAAATTAAGATGTGTCGGTAGTTCGCATTCAATTGCTGCTAAAAGAGCAGAAACACCGTTGGGAATGAAATTGCAACGATGCGATGATAAGGTAAACAAGTCATCATCGTTAGATGAACGTGAAGTTGATGGTAAGGTAAGTAGATTTGCATTTAATGCTCGAGAATATTGTGAAATATAGAACCATGAACCCTGAAAAATTATAGCACAACACTAAATTACATAATTTAAAAATTATCTAAGAGATAAAAATTTTTATTGTAAAATTTATAGCAAAAAAAAATTGAAGTAATAAAAAAATTTTTGCTATGAAATCTATTGAACTTTTATTATTAGATAATCCCTCAATATTTTGATTTTTTCTTTTTTTCTGAGAAAAAAAAAAAAAAAAAAACAAATCCGAGGATATTATTGAGGAATTTGTAAACTGGAAGCAAACGTTGTACTAACCAACCTGACAGCATTCAAATACACAGTCAGAATCGATTTGTGGTAATTTTTCACGGATAAAATCGATTAATTCATTTGGATTTTCATCAATATTTAAAACAACAAAACGATCAAAATTTTTCAATTCATTATCATGCAGTGTTCGTGATGTTATCACTAATTTCAACCAGCTTGGTAATGATTTAGTCAGCTGAAAAAAAAGCTTAAATATTCATTTTAAAATTCGAAATTTATAACTTTTCTGCTAATTTTTCGTTTTTTTCAAAAACAATCTTTCAATTCTGCAAATAATTTTAGGAAATTTTTGAAGGAATTATTTTGAATGAAAAAAGTTAAATTTTCACTTTTAAATTTGAAATTTTACAACTTTTTCCCCAAAGTTTTTTTTTTTTTAAAGAGTAATTTGTAATTTCTCATTTCTGTAAATGTTTTTGGATAACAATAAATAATTTGTTTCGGAAGAAAAAAAATATATAAACGTCGTAAATTTTTTTTGTTTTGTAATGTTACGCATGAAAAATGCAAATGCAATTAAAAAGAAAAAAAATTGTGTGTACATCAGTATCTTCACATGTAACCATTTCTAATTATGCTATAAATTTGAAATGAAAAAAAAAGCAAAAGCAAATTTGTAATTAGAAAAAAGTTTTTTCTTGTCTTTCCTTCATGAAATCATTTTCTTTCTTAAGTTTAAATTATTTGCTGCAATGTATTTTAATGAAATTACAATAGTTGTATATATGTGTACTTATTTCTTCTTTCTTTCTCTCAAAAGGTAGAAAAAAAATGAGTCAAATGTATAACACTAATGATTTTTTGCGGAAAAAGTTCACGGAAGATTGACGAAATTGGAGGACATGTCAAGGTTATCCTTTTCTCTCATTTCAAATTAATCACAAATGACCTTTCGAAATATATTTAACATTATGCATTGGTGAGATTTCGAAATTAAATTATTTTAATGAGAACTGATATCTAATCCATTCATCTTAGTGGCGAATCTTTAATTTATAAAATTGCATTTTATAAATTTAATTTAAACTGAAAGAAATACCACTATTTTCTCTGATGTGATAGTAATCGATGCAATGAAATTTTATGCAAGTGCAAGTGCAAATCATTAATATTATTTCTTGCTTTCTCTCTCTCTCTCTCTCTCTCTCTGTCTTCCTCACTTTTCCTTTTTCGTAAATTTGAAAAAGATTTTGAAATAAATATAAAGATATAGAAATTAGAAAACTGTGATAAAAAACCGAAAGAGAAGAAGAAAACGATAATGATTTAGTAAGGAATTACGCAGAAATTAGAGATTTCTTTCTTATCATAAATTTATAGTTTATTCTGTTTGATTTTTTTTTTTTTTTTCATCAATCTTCTTTTAAAATTTTATTTCATTATCCTTCTTTATTTCATTCTATTTTATTTTACTCCAATTTCAAGTCATTCTCTTTTATTTTATTTCATTTTACTTTATTTTACTCCAATTTTACTTCATTCCATTCCCCATTTTTTTTTTAAATTTCTATCTTATTATTAATTCCTAATTCATTCTATCATTCCTATTCCATCCTATTTCATTTACACAATTTAATCTAACGTTCCTCCCTAATTCTATTCTACCTTAATGTATTCTGTTTCATATAAATTTCATTTCAATTTCAAGCTGTAAGTAAATTAAATAGAACAAAATGTACTACAATCTAATGTCATTACCAAATGGATACGCTTGTAAATAACAAATGTGTTTTACATCTGTTTAAAATTTGAGGAAAGTGAAGAGGAAAAAAGAAGGAATGAGTGGTAAGAAGCATTAATTATTAGTTTAAGATAAAATTCACAGACTAATTAATTATTGTTAGTTGCTTGGTACAAATTTTACAACGAGCAACAAGTGGTTGCTAAAAATGAATATAAAATATCTTCAAAAAAGACAGTTTAACATTTCGTTGTTTATAATTATAAGCATATCAACATTATCATTTCTCGACTTTATCATTATGAGTTTGATAATGATTAATTAAAAATTCAGCAAAAAATTATCATTTTTCTTAATTATGATATAACTTTAGTTTATATAATTGTTAGCTTCAAAATTATAAAATTTCTTTCTTCTTTTTTGTGACAAATGACACTTAAAGGGAATGAAAATTCTCATCAAATATCATACAGAATTATATAAACAAATGGATTTCATATAATTCCAACCAGACTACACTATTGTTTCTTTTAAAGTTCTTTTTTAGGTTCATCAGTTCGCACTAATTATAGTATTACTGTATCAAATTAATAAATGACATCGCAATTCAATCAATTAAAGCAAAGGTCAAAGGTTATGAAGTTTGTCCTTTGATCTTTTCTCATTCAGCTTTTTGTAACGGTAAATGTCATTCATTTCACTAATCTTTACTTAGTCATATTCACTTACGCATAAACATTAATCCCATCTATATTATTTACAAGTATTAGTTCCATTTCTATTTTTTTTGAAACACTATCAAATCATTTTGTCCCTTTAATTTGCTCATTTTTAAAATGAAAGATTTCTTTTTTTTTTTTTTTTTTTTTGGTGAACTTATTTTCTGGAACGCAATGGAAAAAATTTATCGAAAATGCTTTCTCTTCAAAGTGCACAAACAAAGAAAAAAAGTCTAAACTAAATGATTTTAATAGATAAGAGTATATGAGAGATGAAATACACCAACAATCGCTTCGAATTTACTTACTCTTCTATTCAAATAAAATTAATGACTGATGCATTTAGTAGCCTTTTAAAAAAGAAAAAAAGCAAAATGGACTTTGCTTATTTTTGCTAATGTTAGACTAAAATGATTAACATATAATAACAATTTATTACTATTATTATTGTGATGATGATAATAATAATCACTGTGTAACTGCGTTTTATATCTCCACATATCATATAAACAAAAGTAATATTTATGCTTTACATTTCAAATATTTTTGGAATAAAAGACTAAAAATCAAACTGAGTTATATCATTTCTTAAGAAGTAAGATAACTGAAACAAAATAATCAGAGGAAAAAATCCATAAATTTTGCATGAAGATATGTAATCTGAAGCATTTCTACGAAATTTCAAAAATTTTGTAATTTTTTCTTTACTGTTTTTATTTTTATGCGATTTACATAAATTTGTATTTAAGGTTTTTGAGAAAATGCTAGGTTAAAAAATGAAGTGATGTGAAACGATTTACCTTTCACATAGAAATTGAGATTTTAAATTTAAAAATAAATTATTTCTCGCAAATAACCTTTCATCACTTACTCGTCCAATACATTTACTATCCATTATTTCTAATTAAATTATCATCCCTTTTGCGCAATGGTACACACAATGTGTAAATTAGAAAAGTGTTGCTAGAAAAGGTAAGAGAAATTGGGAAGTTAATGAATTGACCAAATGAGGGCCAATTAGAACTGGCATTGACAGTAGCGCATGCATATTTTGAGTTTCCTTTCCTCACATTCCATTAATGTTAATTATCGCCCTTGATAAACAAATTTTTATTTGATTATAATGAAATAGGACGGAAACTTAAACAAAATCATTTACAATTTCGGATGTAAAAAATTTTTTTCTTTTTTATTTGAGAAATTTAAAATGTTGAAATTTTTGAAATGTTAGGTGGAAATTTACAAAATATGAATAGTTTAATGCATGTAATTCAATATCCTTTCTCTTTTACTCTTTCTCTTTCTCTGTCCTCCTCTTTCTTAGTGTTAATTTCATTTCTGAAATGTTTTTTTATTTTATTTTATTTTTATAGCTTAGTTAATTTTTTTAAAATTCAATTTTTTTCTTGTTTTTACCTGATTTATAAGTGGAATAATTTCTTTCTGAATTCCATCGATCAATATGAATGATAATACTTTTGGTATTGGAAGTGATTGAAGTGGTTTGATAAGGAAATGGTGCAATGCACTATTCTGGAAAAAGTTGGTTTAGAAGTATAATAATGCTTCTCAAATTAGATTTTTTCCGCTCTTTTTTCGTCTTTTTTTCTTTAGCTTTTTCTATTTTTTATGATTGAAAATTAAAAACTTTATTTTGTTAACAATGAGATTTAAAAAAGAAACAAACTTGATTTTTCCACATTTTAAAAATTTTTTGTGAAAAGAGGATGACAGATAGACATAGAGAAGGGAAAAAGGAGAACAGAAGAAAAGGTGACAGGATGGGGACAGAGGAGGGACAACAGAGGTGAAACCGATCAATGATCAATTCGGTGTTACACTAAATTTCCTTCGGTTTATCTATGACTACACACACACATACATACATATATATATATATATGTATGTGTGTGTCTGTTTGTCTGTGAATGCATAAGCAAATGAGAATGCTGAATTGATAGGAAATTGAATTAGAGAACCAAAGATATTTCATTTTGATTGAATACGCACACATTATAATTAAGTATGAATCAGCAATTGTTAAAAAATTTTGAATTCAGTTTCAAATGAACTTAGAAATTAACTGCTAATTAACTTCTCACTAATATTTGAATTAACATTCGACTAAAATAAATTTCTAAAAAGTTCGTACGATTAATTTTAAATAACTCTTCAATCCAATATTTTGAGTAATTTCTCTTCAAAATGTCAACATTTCTAATTAATAGGATGTACTGATAGCTTTATTTGTTATTGCTCCAGTAACTGCTTGCTAAACAAATAACAGAGCATGCCCAATAGGCATTAGTTGACAATAATTGACGTTAGATAAGTCGTTTGATAAGTAAATGAACAAATTAAATGTTTTGCTAAAGAACGGATGAACAAAGAAATAATTAATTTTTCGATTAATTTAATAAGCAGAAAAAAATTAGGTAAATGTAAATGAAATAATCATACCTGATGTGCTAGGAATGTTACTGATGCGAGCTTTGGGATGACTAAATTCGGAAAGCGATTAACAAGTTGCCAAGCAATATTCCGTAAAATGGTTCCAGTTTCCAATGATTCCGGGTCAATTTTGGTGCAATAATGTATTGCTGCTAATTGTGGTTCATTTTCCAGCTATAATTAATTAGAAATTTCAACTTTCTTTTTACCATAATTATCATTAGATAATACGGAAAGCCTCTTTTGCTAAATGATTCATAAATATGAATGAATGAATGAATTAAACTTAATGAGCTATCCAGTCCCAAATTAATGGTCAGTAACTTAATAACATTTAAATGTGACATCATCCAGAGTATCATGTGTGTACTGAATACTTCAAAAAGAAGCCAAGTAATAATTGATTACTCATTATTCATTTTATCATCATGAAATTAATTGATTACTTATTCACACAGTTAACCATTAACCAAATTATTAATTACAGCGAATTTAATTAATATAATGATCTCTCTCTCTCTTTCTTTCCCTCTCTCCCTCTCTCTCTCAATGTGGAGTGTGTTATCTATCTGGTAATTGATCTAATGGCAAACAATAAAAAATTATGCAAATTTTACGACTTCATTGAGCCTTCAAATAATTTAATAAGATATTAGGTTTAATCGATAGCACAGGTACGAAACTTTCGAATATTCATTAAAATGACGCACAATATCAGTTCCAACAATATATTAATCGCACCAAAAAAAAAACACAAAAAAAAAAAAATTCAAAAAAATGTAAAAGACACTTCTTTGAATAGTTTCTAAAGATATTAATAAACTTTTCTTTCATTTAAAACCTAATTATCATTAAGTTGTTTAAGAGCAAAAAAAAAAATCTGGCAGATGTTAAATGATCTTTCTATCATTGAATTTTTCTTTTTTTTTAACTTTTTCATTTGTATTTCGAGGGCATATTCCATAATTTTGATTTCCTTTCCTATTTTTTCCCCCATCTTACTCATTTCACCCTCCGCTTAATTAATTAATATTAATTAAGGAAAATCTATTTTTTCGATTCAAACAGAATGAATAGTTGTTATTATAAAAATGTGTTCGAATATGTGTTTCTTCTTCCTGTATTTTAATTGATTTTTTGTATTTTAAAAGTGAAGGAATACGTCAATTTTAGTAAATTAATTGAAGCATATTTAATTGGTAAATTAAACATGCCTCAATTAAATATACCTTTTGTTGAAAAAAGAGAATTGTTTAAATCAAGAAACTAGAAAGTATTTTTATCAAAATAAGTTTACTTCACAAAACTTTCGCAAAACAATGACTTATCAGTGACATGCTTATTGATTTATCTAATAAATTTCATTTGTCACATTTTTTTTAAGATAATTCCAAAAAATACATTTATACAAAAAATATAAATACAAAAGAATAATTCTTATTTATTCCAATTAGTGAAGTTAAGCGATTTCCATTCCGTTCTAGAAATTATTTTAGTTAGCTTTTATCAATCTTTTCTTCTGCTTATTCTATCTTTCTTTACAACAAAATAACATGAATATTAATTCTCATTAATCAAGGAACTATTGTGAATAATTGCTTTTATTCATTAAAATTAACTAATTCAAATTTCACTTAAAATTAAAATGTGCTTTTTATTTCGCTCATTCTTTCTCTTCTAAAGCAAAATCAACAAAAATCTTGTATAAATGAAATGATTAAGTAAATAGCAAGAAAAGACAAAAAAAGAGGAGGAAGAGGAAAAAGTTGTTTTTCTAATTGTCCATTTATTTATTTTCTTTTTTTGAAGATTGAACAAAGAAGAATTGATTTTAGTCAATTAAAACTAGTTTTATCTTTTTATTGTAAACTAACCAATGAGTTATTCAATCGGGTTGAATCATTCAATTTTTTCTTTTTTTTTAAAAAATTTTATATTATATTTTTGAATTTCCTTTTACCGTTATCATACCATTATTACAGCTGCTTTTGCTTTTTTTACGCAAATATAACAAAAAAAAAAAAAAAAAAAAACGCATCAAATAAAAATAATATACGCTCCATTTGACTTACTGATAGTAATTATAATTCCACCTGATCCGATCCGATTCAATCCAATTCGACAAGAAAAAATTTTTAATTTCACTCAAAGTTTTGTTTAACAGTAAAAAAAAATAAATTAGATTAATACTATTACTGTTGTTGTTGCATTGAGTGATAATTTGTTAGCTTTTTAAATTGTCCAATACTTGAAATAATCTAATTCAATAATTGATTAATTTATTACTTAAATTAAAAAAAAAAAGATCTGCTCATAATTGATAGTACTTCTCTAGCAATGCAAATTTCCCATGCAATTTTGTAATGAAAATGTACGAAATTTGATATTATCCAAATGAATTCACTCTGCGTGATGCTTTCAAGTAGTGTTAGTCGGAAGGTTGTAAAATATTTTATGATCTTTCATGACGTATATAAACATAAATAAGAATGAAATGGCAAAATTATTCGTCAATTTTGACATACATTCAATTACCCCAAAAGTATCCACCTGCTTAAATATGTAAGTAATGTTAACCCAAGTGAAGCAAATTATTTGAATTCTTTTTTCCGATATTTCAATTATTTAATAAAACAGTTATTTCGGAAGTAAAGCAAATATATGAAAGAGAAGAAAAATAAAAAAGAAACAATCTCAAGTGAGTAATCAGTTAAATGAGAGGTGAAAATGAAAGGAATAACAGCAGTAGCAATAATAAAAATTATAATGAATAACAATTAGAAATGAATAATTAACTTCTTTAATTAATCTACCAGCATTTGAAGAAATTTATACACTTACGCCTAAATAATAATAATTTTAATTGAATAATAATCATCTAATACATTTTTTTCCAAATTCGAAATTTTTGATCCATTACAATTATTTAATTTTTCATCTATATTTTTAAATTTTCAATTATTTAACTAACCGATTTAGCAAAAAATGTTTTTCCACTATAAGCTGCTCCAACAATCAACAATGGTCGATTAGAATTATTAAGCCAATGTTGGAGATATTTTCGTGATTCATTTCTCTCCATCATCTTAACAAAATGTCGTCGTCTTCCTTTCACGCCAACAAAATCATTTTATACTCAGGAAATTTTATTAGAATGAAATGTGTGATATATCTAAAAATTTAGAATTTTTACGAATTATTATTCATTAAAATCAAGTTTTGAAATGTACAGTAATCGAATTTCATCACAATATAACAATATAAAGTACAAAAACAACAACGAAAATAAAAATAAATAATTGAATGAAAATAACTAAAATTTAAAATCAAAGAATTTGAAAGATTTGACAAGCAGTCATTCCAATAAAATTTCAAAATTTTCATTTAGATATCAAAGAAAAAAAAGAAAAGGAAAAAGGAAAGAAAAAAGCAAAAGGGGGATGCAAAAACGAATCACAAACAAAAGCCAACCAATTTTATTAAGAGCCTAGGCTAAGCTCTTTCTTCCAATTTTATTCTCTATCTCTATCTAAAATATTGAACTATATAGAGAGGAGGAGAAAGACATAATTAGAACTAGAGAAATCTAAAGTAGTAGCAGCAGCAAGCCGGTATGCAATCATTCATAGCTTTTTGCTCTTGGTGGTGGTGCAGAGTGAAAATGGTGATGATGGTATGATGATTGGGAGGGGAAGGAGGAAGGGGACGAGGAGGAGGGGAAGGTAGGAGGAGCGGGCAAGAAGGGGAAGGGGACGAGGAGCAGTTCAAAGGGGAAGAGAGGCGGAACTAGCAATTCAAAATTGAAATTCTGTCTTTTTCTTAATAACTAAATTATTTTCAGTGATACATTACATAATAATTATTATATTCTGTTAGACTATATATTTCTGTATTATGTATTAGATTATTCGTGTATTTATGTATTATATATTAAATTATTTATTTATTGTATATTGCACAATGCGATGCGATGCGACGCGATGCATATTTACGTGAATGTAATAATACACATCGCAAATCTGATATGAAATGATTTATCTGTTTTCTTTGACCAATCAACGAAAGCATACAATCGGCGTCCATTTGGATGAATTGTGCAATATTCGAGATATGCTAATTATAGTTTTAATTTCAGATTTCAATTAACTTCGTTCAATTTGTTACTGTAGATAAATACACGTGTGTGGGTGTAGGCGTGTATGTGCGTGGGTGTGTCGTACCCGCGAGTAGGAGGTGTCTATGTGTGGCGTGGGCGTGCTTGTGGATGTGCTATTCACCACAGCAAATCATATTTCAATGTTATTGACAGCTGAATGGTAATAGTTTGATTAAACTTAACAATGAATATCTGTGTGTGTCTGTGTGTCTGGTTGTTTGTCTGTCTTGTCAGTCCATCACACTTGTGAATGAATATAAACTGAAGGACATATCATTTCTTACACATCAGAAGGAAAAATATAAATAATGCGGGGAATATTATGTTATGTTTATTGATTGATTGAAATCAGTCGATGGTTGGTTGACAAAGAAGGAGGAGAAGCGATGGATTTTAAATTTGCTCAAAGTGATAGCATTAATATTTTTTCTCTTTTATCATTTTTTATTCATACAAAAGCTGAAATAATTAGCGTTAAATGATTTAAGGATTAAGCATTGAATTTAGGTAAAGCAAAATTAGAATAAATGATCGAATAGTTTTTTAAAATGTAATATTCTCTTTTCTTTCAGAAATGTAATTTGTGTTTTCCTTTTCCACTTTTTTTTCAATCTAAAATTAGAATATTAGAAAAGAAAAATTAAAAGCACAATTTCACTACAAAAATCAAAATTGGGCGCACTGTTTAGTAAAAAGATTTTTGGCTAAAAGAAACAAAAAAAAGAAAGTATTTTTCAGGAGAGGGAAAGATTACAAATTGACAATATAATCTTTTTTTTTTCTTTTTCACTATAAAGATAAGTTCAAAATTTTGATTTGAGAAACAAAGTTTGAGAATTTTTGAAATTTATTTGTTCAAAATAATTATAAAGCGTCTGAACGTAGTACAATTTAAAATATTGTACGTCAAATTAATCAAATCATCTTTTTTTTTTTTTTTTTTTTTGTGAAACTAATTGTAACTTTTTGCAGGTACAATTCAAAAGTATAGAAAAAACTGGGAAACATTCCATATTATGAAAAAATAACAAAGAAAAAAAAAACAAAGGAAGAAAAAGGAAAGACAATAGATTTCAAGTTTTCCGGAAATTAGTAATAAATCATAAACGAAGGAGCATTGAAGCGTTTGAGAAATTTTGGAAAAATTTTTTCAAGTTTGTCGGGAATCCCAAATTCTTAATAAACTATATTTATTTTTGATTTTAGATGAATTATTGATTGTCATAGCAACCAACCACAGCATGAAATAATAAAGTTAATACTGCAAAATCCCTCGAAACATTTATTTATTCGGCAGCTATGATATCATCTACGTGTAAAGTATATATGATGTACGTGTAAACTGCGTGTAAAATAACATCCTTCATTATAAGTTATATTGAGGACAAGAAAATAAATAAGCTATTTCGAGACGAAGATGACTTCTAATTTTCATCAAACAACTAAACTATAAGACTAAAAGGACAATTTCAAGTTTTCGTTGATGAGTCTTCAAATACTCCTGAGATCCATCAAACAAGTTCATCTATCTGCCAAGCAGATTTCAGTGAAATACTTCAGATATATTCGCCTTCGCACATTACTTACGTCATTTTCTGCTTTCTTCCTTTTTTTTTTTAAAAAAAAAATCGAGCATTAAAAGACGATTGATATGTGGGAAAGACTTCCTATAAATTCAAATTGTGTTTTTCTCTTGATTTCTAGTTCCCAATTAAATTAAAATATGAATTAATTAATGCATCAATTTTATGAAGAAAATGAAAAATTCCGGTTGCAAAATGATTAAGCAGATTGAATAATTAGAATAATTAAATTTTATTAAGTTTAACTTTCCCAGAACACGTAAAATAAACATCTTGCTTAACTTAAACTCTTAATTAAACACTAAAGAGAAATTATTTTTTTAAAAAAAAAGGTTTCCAGAATTACTAAAATTTAACAACTAAGAATATGTTTGCAAAAACAAACTCTTCATTACTAAAATATTTAGCTTATTAAAGATTAAAGAAAAATATCAGAATACGAGGAAAGGCGGGCAGAAAAGCAGAGAGCGGGAAAAGAGGAGAATTGAATGAAAAGAAGGAAATTATCTTGCGGTACGCCAAATGAATCATCACGCACTTCATATTAATCATTTCTTCCTTCTGCCTTCTCCGCTTCGTGTCAAAAAACTTTCCGCTTCCCAAACTATAATGCTAATAAATCACAGTTCCATAATTTGCATATTTTGAAATTTAAGTATGCTGTGTTATCATATATCTATGGTTTGTGATTTCATGATGCTGGCGACAACAACACAATCAATGTATTTGGTTATTATCGGGATGCTACTGCAACATTGTACATTTCAAATATTTTAATTTTAATAAAAGATCAAAGAGTAGATAAAAGCTATTAAATTTCTTACCATCATTATTAATAAATAATTGAAATGTAGGTTTTGAGATAGGTATATAAAGAAATTTCAACATTTATCAAAGTGTGAACAGTGCAGGTCTGAGCTAGAAATGCTAAAAACGATCCGATAAGGAGCAATTAATTTATTTATTCTAGCTTATTCCATATGTTAGCTAAGCGAATATTCCATTTCAATCTTAATGGAAAGAAGAAGGAGAATTATGTCGGGTAGTATAAATATTGAATATGTGGAAATAATAGTGAAATATTTGCATGTCATGGGAAAGTAATTTAATTCCTTCATGCAAGGGAAACTATTAAAGAGAAAGTTAAGAAGAAACTGGCAAAATTTAATGTTCAACAAGGATAAAATAGTGAAATCTATCCACAAATGTACACTCACACCCATCTACGTAAATCTACGCACAGCAACGAGTCAAACTTAAACAAACATAGACACAAGCAATTGAATTTGGCAGTGTAGGAATCACGGAACAGGATGCGAAATTGATTGAGGTGCTAAAGTGAATTTTATGTAATTAAGAGAAGAAAAGGACGGTAATACATGAAATGAATAAAGGTGAATTAATTACTAATCAAAATTGAATATGTAAATTTATCGAATAACTCAACTGAACAAATTTTTATTACTTGTTGAATGACTGACCGAATTTTATGAAAATGAATTTTAGTTTAATTATTTCTTTTCATCATCTTTTTTGTCCTTTCCAGTTAATCATTTCTATTTTTACCAACAAAATAAGTTTTACCAACAAATTAAGCAAGGAAAAATTCATAATGCAATTTCTATACTATATAACATTTAGTTGGGGTGAAAAATGTTGTTCCCAATGATGCATGACAAATATTTGTTGACATAATGAAGCAGAGAAGCGAAGCTAAAATTTACCAACAAAATGATGACATTGGATGGCACATTTAAACTGAAGCTAAGCTCTTGATTTAACAACTCAAATAGTTAAAAAGCCAAGCATAATAATGACGGGGACGGTGAAAATGAAAATAAAAGTGGAAAAATCAGCAAATGAAACTAATTAGATGTAAATAATTACAAACAAATGAATAACTAATGCAATTATCATGATTGCAGGAAACCATAACAATGAAATCATATTTAATAGAAGATTAATAATAATAATGGTAATAATAATTAATAATTAATGATAACGATAATAATAATAACAATAGTAAAAATAATAATAGTAATAATAACAATAATAATAATAGTAATAATAATAATAACAATAATAATAATAATAATAATATGATTATGATGAAGAAGAGGACACTAAACTCCATTATCAATTTCATTCTTCATTTTTGAAATTACTTTCCGTTATACATTAATTTCAATCCTAATCTCAATCATTTTAATTACTGTTTGCTTCAATTTTTTGAGTATCCACTTATAGAATACATTTAAACTTGAAACTTTTTTTTTTTCTTTTTTCTCAGAGGAAACAAATTACTTTTTTATATTGTTAAAAGCTCATACCTCATGGGATGTATCA